CAGTGTTCTACGGCCAGGACGAAAACCGCATTGTTCCTCCTGAATCCGAGATTCGACTATCGATCTCACCTTCCACCCTCATCAGATCCCTGTGTATCAAAAACTATACCTTATATAATCATATCTTAACAAAATACTTTCATAAACACATCATTCTCAGTGTCTTACTTGTGTTTCGCCCCCTCTGTCATTCACCACAGTCAGCGAATCTCTCTTCCTTCTGAGAGACACATCAGACAGACCTTAATAAGACAGCCTTATACAGCTGACCCTTTCACATTGCAGGGGCTAGTGCCACAGACCCCCAATCTGGAAAAACCGTGTTCATTTTTTTTGGTCAAACAAACAAATTATGCAAATTTTTACAGCTAATGCCCCAGTAATATTCCTACAGACTGGCATGGGGAGTTACCAGGGAGACACAGGGGTGACACTGAGCACAGAGGGGGCTCTGCTAACAAGCTAATTGGGGCCCAGTTAAGTTAGCTGGTTAGACGTAATCAGCTCTGAGGATAAAGGGGCAGGCAGGACAGAGGGAAGGGAAAACAGTGGGAATGGAGAGAGAATGGGGGGGGGGGGCGCTTGTTCCTGGGCTTCTGTTCATTATATTAGCTTTGATTATGTTAATGTTAGTGTTTCTTTTCAGACTGATGCTATATGTGTCTTTTGTGCCGATGAGGCTGATGGACATGGAGAGGATGATTGAAAGCCAGTTATATGTGTCTCCAAATAATTAGCAAAATTAACATTTGCAATACTAAACATTTTAAAAACCATAAATTTGTTTATTTCAAATGTATATGGAAGAATAAAACACTCACCTGATTATGATGTATATTACAGCTAAAACAGCCAGTAGTATTACCAGCACCAATACTAATATTGTTATTGGATTACCTTTAGCTGAAAAGGGATAAAAACAAAAAAAATAAGGAAAAATATTTGGTGCATCAAAAATAAGTTAATCCAGCCAATTTTTTTTTATTAATATATGGGGTGCCAAGTGCCAAGCGCTCATTTTCATGCACAAATAACATTCTGTGCCACCAAAAGCATCATTTAATGACAAAATCAAGTAATGCTTTGCTGCATTTCATCCACATAAAGACAAACCCCAGTTACGTTTTGACAATGAAAGCATAAAGACTTCACTCATATACAGAAATCAAAAGGAATGTTTCATTGTCTGCACAGAATGATATCAACACCTTGCATTTTGTGGACAGTAGGCTGAATGTATCTGCTTTTATGAATAAAAATAAAGTCACAAAATGGAATCACAAAATGAATTATGCCCCCTTTAGTGTTCATTTTGTAAGTCACAAAATGCATTTTGTCACTGAAGTGAACTTTTTGTACATGCAATGTTTTTGTGGAACCACAAAATGAACGACTGAGCAGGTGCATGCAGACAGCCTGCGGATCCTCGTAGATTCGCTAGTGCTGCGAACTGCAGAAGGTGCTACAGTTACTAGACCCAGTCCACAGAGTGTTCAGGGGACAGCTAGGGCAAGACCGTCACTGGTCAACTGTCTATTGTAAGGAGGGTTCTTGTTATGCTCTTAATTAGATAATGCTTACTCGACATAGTACCTGCTACATGTATGCTATGGAATTTATAAGTTGGTACGTTTTCAGTGTCTAACGCTACAGTTAGGGACATCATATTTAAGGGCATATGTTCATTCACTCCACTTGCCAATGCTTAACAAGAATAAAAAACCTGCAGTTTATAAATTAAATGAAAAATGGAAAGAAAAAAAAACCTGTGGTGTGACTGGCGATGTAAAGTAATTCAGACAATTATTGGCACCCTTTGTTCATGGATGACTAAGGGAATTTCGGCTCTATGTCACCTCATAAGAAATGAGAAATTTACAAACGAAAGGAGGCCAATCGGCCTCATATTTGTACCCCAGTTAACCAGAAAGTCATAGATTACACCTTTATCCATCTATTTTCTGAAACTGTTTCTGCTATTCAGGGGGGTCTGGAACCTATCCCAGAGGCTATGGGCACAAGGCAGGGAGCTATCCAGGACAGGGCACCAACCAATCACAGTATTGGTATTTTTATTGTATTTAAATTCAAGTTAAATGTAATTACACAGGTCTGCAGAATCAAAGCCATTGGTCATAGGAAGGTACTACTCCCCACCGGCATGTGCCTACTCCTGCCTGTCATGACTCAGTAAAAGATTAAATGTATTTCATGGTTCCAAAAAAACACTGCAAGCACAAAAAGTTTATTTCAGTGACAAAATGCATTTTGTGAGTTACAAAATGAATACCAAAGGGGGCAAACTTTATTTTGCGATTCCACAGAATGCATTTTGTCCACGAAAAGTTACTTAATTAGTACCTGTAGGTTCGTTTGGTCCATTGTAAATAAGTGATAATTGGGATGTTTAAAATGAACGCTGCTTAAATACAATAATATGACACAAACTATCAACAAACTCTCACTGCAGTTGCTGTGTGTCTACGTGCCCATTCATGACATACATTTCGTCCACAAAATTACTTACTTTCATTCACGACATGAATTTATTTAGTTTTTGTGAACAAAATGGGTTTCTGTTGATTAATGAGGGGCATCATTAGGTCTATTTTGGGGGGGGGAGCTTTAGAGATTCCTCTAGATGAGGTCATCACCACCTTTAATTCTGAAGTTATGCAGCACATAGAAGAACAAGCAATGGGAGTTTTCTGCAGGTATTTCTATCACAGGTTCTAACACCATGACAAAGAGTATAAATCCTAAAGGTATTAATAAGCAGTATTCTTCAGAATCGCAGCTTATGCACTGCAGTGCAGTTAGCTTCTCATTGCTGTCATCGCCTTTCTGCTGCACATATTCATGAATTAATTAGCATTGTCAGCAGTAATGTATGTGTCTAAATGAAAACAGGCATAGGATACAAACAGTTTGGTTATGCTGTGTGATCCAAAAATAAGGTGAAATTACAGCAAAGTACAGACTCACCAACAACTTGCAGTGCTACTCCATGTTGACCACACTGTAGACATCCATTAGCTGTAAAGCTGAATCTATACACTCCAGCATCAGTCTCTGTAATGTTCTTTATCATTAATGTACAGTTCTTCTCTTTGTTTCCCAGGAACTCTGCTCTGTCTGCATACTGGGCACTAATGTTTGTATTATTGCTGTTATAAACATGTGATTTTCCTGCACAGTCATCAGTATTATGACTCCATATCATCGAATCCACTTTGTATGACTCTGGAAAATCATATCGACATTTGATGACCACAGTCGATCCTCTCACTGCACGCACGGTTTTCTCTGGATAATCTACAGTCCATGCACCACCTAGAACCCACAAAAGCATAATGAAATATAAGCGTTGTCTCTGATACTTTACTTAAAAAATGCTATCATACTGCTTTTTAACTTGAACAATAAAATCCACTTTTGGACATTACATTGCCTTTTAAAGCACAGGAGTAGGTTGTATATTTTATATTTGCAGGCAGGTTTGAAGTGAAGTTTCGACTGTGTATCTGTTAATTAGCTGGTAGTCTTTCTGATCCGCTGATAGAGCAGCTGTCTGTGCCACATGTTAAATCCACAATGTCTCCTACTCGTACTCCTATATCTCTATTAGATGAGGTTGTTATAACCTTTAATCCTACAGACAAGTCATACTTGTTTTTCTCATTCACTGATTCTCCCCCTTTGAAAATTGAACATCAGATTCAGAGAAAGACTAAACCTCTAGCTATAGTTTTTAAATGTAACAAAATATTAATTATATAAAAAGGACTGTAGCAGTCTTACAGAACATACACTTCATAAAGATGAGATTATTTCATTATTTTCAAAATAATACATTGCAGAGCTCTTTGGTGATACTATGGAATATCATTTAGCATTGAATACCACTTAGTGAATGTAATACTTAGGATAAAACTATAGAGATGTAACCTGCAAAATACTATGTGACCTTTAGAGAATATAGTTGAAGTATTGCTGCATGATCTAGCCTCAGTGTTTCTGTAACTGTATCTTATTTTAGCTCTGGTTGTATGACTTTTATTCAGCTCTGTTGCTTATCACTATGTGGAAGGCTAAACAATATAACTGGTTTTAATATGTGACCAGCTAAAACTTCCAAAGACTGCTACCTCTCAACCATAAACACACCTAGTTCTCACGGCACGTCTGGACATCTTGCCTGGACCTTTATCACGGTGCCCTTAGCTGACTGGGGCCCTCTGCCATGACTATACAAGACATTGTGGTGGCCATTTTGCTGTGATTGTGCTTCTGGAAAATACGATTGACAAACTCTGGATTCTACTCAACTGACTTCTGACTCCTGATTTGGCTCTAAGGAAGAACCATGGCAATACCATTAGTGGAACATGTTTTCAATGAGACTTACCATCGACTTTAAGAATCACTCCAGGGTTACCAGTCCATTTTCCAGCTGTATCATTGGTTATAAACCTGAATCTATACTGTCCAGCATCTGTGTCTCTAATGTCCTTTATCCGTAATTTAGTGATCTTCACTGTGTCCCCCAAACACTCCGCTCTGCCTGTGTACTGAGCACTGACATTTTCATTATTACTGTGACACACATATGGATAGCTTGCATAAGTATTATGACACCACATTACTGTCTCCACTCTGAGTAACTGTGGATAATGATATTCACAGGACATGACCACAGTAGATCCTCTCACAGCACAGACTGATTTCTCAGGATACCATACAGCCCATTCACCAGTCATCACCCCTGGAAAACATAAATTACAAAAAAAACTGCAGTGTCAAGTTCTGAAACAGGGAACATTGGGATCAACCATCAGAAAATCATTTCTTGACCAGATATGCCAACACAGAAGATAAGACTGAATTCATGACCCAGGTGACTGTTAGACAGGCAGGAGACTGTGGACATTTTACATCATACTGTTAATGTTTTCTTAACAGAATGAATAATTATTCAGTTTATTTAAATTGTTCATGCTGCCAGTAAACAAGTATAGATATGGGCTCATTCTACATCAAATCAGCCAAAGGGTCCCAGGTCACCCTCTCAGATTCCCCTGAAAAAGGGCCACATGCTCCAGTACCAAACCTATGGAGAAATCCTACAAATTAGGCATGTAACTCTACTAGTTTTTTACCTACATCCTTTGAAAATGTGATTAATATTATGCATTTTGCTGCAAAAGCCTTTCAGTCCAACTTCAGACATACATAGGTCATTTGATATGGCATGTACAGCTCAACAAAAAACAGGTTGTTTTATTTCACTATTTTTAATACATTTATGAAGTAGTAGTGTGTTCCTGTTATTGAAAGTTTATGTGGCAATTCTGAGATACATACCTTATATTTAGGATTTCTCTTTAAGTTTGCTATAGGAGCACCTGCGCATTTTTTTCAGTGGAATCTGAGAGGGTGACCTGGGAAATTTTTTCTCAACCTGAGTGATTTGATATTGAATGACTCTATACATTTCTGTGAGTGACAATTAAAATGTTGATTATATCTGGTTATGTAATTATGACACAGTGACGTAAAATGTAAGAGTTTTCTGCCTGTGATCTGTATTGTTAGCGGTAGCGGCGCTAGTACTTGGCCGCGGATGTTTCAGTTTAACATGACTAAGTATAGCAGACAAATTTTTGTGCTGGGGTTAAATCAGAATCAGATGAGCCCTGTCCCTTTTGGGGTGGGGTGGGGTGGGGGGGGGGTTCTGTACATTACTTTAGTCATCATATGTATTTATGATCTTAGAGATGCAGTATGCCCATTTGTTAGCTTGTTGTGTTACTGCTTTAAATCAATACAAAATTTACAAAGAAATGTGAAAATGTTAAAAAGTTATTCTTATTTGATAGGGGAGCCCCAGCTGCCGAGTTTGGCCCAAAGTTGTTTCTGAGTCGCATAGTCAGGGTCTGAGTTGCAGACAAATCAATCGCAAAGCGGACTTGGGCCAAATTTTCTAATTTTGAGATTTTTGAAATGATTAATCACAGTCTATTATTGTGATTAATTAGATGATTTTTTTAAATGGTTTGACATGTCAGTAACTGAATAATTAAATATTTATGCTGAATGACTCCATGGTGTTACATTATGTTTTCTGGATATTTATGTTCTACTAATTTTTGGTCTATATATCAAAACACAACCAAAAAAAGAAAAAAAACATGCAGTCCAGTCTCATCCTCTCTCACCCCATCCTTTTCTGAGCATTTTTCTCTCCCTTTGATTTTAGGCTTATTACATGGTATGTACATGATTTAGCCACATATGCTGTATGTCTTTGTTTTCAGGACATTCTGGGATACTCAGATATGACATCATTTGATGTGTAAATGCTGACACAGTCTTGGTATCGTCCTATTTATGATGGAAAAAACTACTTGCACCAACTGAAATTTCTCAATTTTTAGTCTTATCTAATATAAAATATTTTTATTTATTACTGCATAACATCTGAAAGAAATTGAAACAGAAAAACATTGCTTAGCTTATGATCCACTGGATAAACACAGACATAACAGATGGTTTTAGAGTCTAATGCTGAATGTTTATCGCTGTTGTTTTTCCACCTATATACGTTATGAATGGTAAAGTGAAATTTGAGAATAAAACTTTCAGTCGGCATTTTAGCCTCAAACAATAGTGTTTACATGTGAGAGGTGTTCCAGTTACACAATGGGTGTGTTCTATTTCAATTATTTTGACTGAGCTCGATATCAAACATACATAATACAAACTTTTGCAAATAAATATTACAAAAATATCAAGTAATTGTCTTCCTAATAAATAGAATCAACCAGCAATACCACTGCAGGACACGCCTTACTGTGACTGGCATGTTTTTCTTAAAATGTTAAATATAACTGTTAAAATGCACCATGTGTCTGTATCTCATATGAGAAACATTTATACAACCACAGAAAGAGAGAAAATGGTAGAAATGTCTGTGCTAGAAAAAGACCCCAAAGAGCCCTTATCCACCTGACATTTCTCTCCAGCTAAGAACACGAGATTTACAAACGAGAGGAGGCCATTCGGCCCATCAAGCTAACATCTCCTCTCATCTTATATCAGCCCTGAGGCTGGAATTAAACCAATTTAATGGTAATTGCAGCATGGAGAACAATTCACTTCTGAACAAAACACACTGACAAATACCAGTTGTTGTTCTTACCAGGTAAGACGACCACAAACAGTCCCCAGAAGGTCAGAGCGTCTCCTGTTCCCATCTCTGCTGCTCCTGCTGCTCTGAGCTCTTTATCACTCACAATCTGCTCTGAGTTTGCAGAAGGTGTTTATGTATCTTCAGTATAAATAAAAATTATCACCCTCTTTGCTATCTCTGTCTTATTCATGTGAAAATGTTCATTTTAACTTCCTCTCTTATTAGTCCATCTAAATTTAACATCTTTGCTGTCACAGTGGGCAGCCCAGTGCCTCGTACCTCTGCAGTGGTGAGATCAGCTCCTACGTTGCCCCTGCATGTTCTCCCAGAATGCATGTGGGCTTCCTCTGAGTGCTGTTGCTTTCCCACAAACACATACATGCTGATCCGATAACATATTTGTGATGGTGATCAGGTAACAAAATGTAATGAAATGAAAATGTATCTCTGCTGCTTCAAGACCCAGTAGGAACCGAAAAGAAAGTTATCAGTCTGAATGAATCCAGTAACAATAAAAAGTAGATCTGGACATAAAAAACATAAATTAAATTCAATTATAATACATACTGTTGAACCAAAACATTATGAAGTGGCTATTGTCAACTAGCACATAAATATAGCACAGATCAAATTCTGGGATATATTACATTGAAAAGTATCATTTGGTACTCATAGTCAACAGGTAGAATGCAGTAGAAACAGGCAGGGGTAAAGATCTAAGTGACTTTGACAGAGCAAAATTGTTATGGGCAGATGACTGGGTCAGACCATCTCTGAAACAGCAAGGCTTGTGGGGTGTTCACAGTTAGCCATGGTGAGTACCTACTGAGAGCCGTCCAAAGAGGGAAAAACCACAATCCAGTGACATGGTGTTGGTTGGGAAAAAAAATGTTATATGGTACCTTGGGCGGAGCCAAATTGTGGGCAGGGCTTAGTAGTGGGTCTCGTTTATGACGTCATAAGTGGGAGGGGGCGTGTCCCTTATTCTGATTGGTCGAGGGGTTATGTCCATATATGGTATCAGATATGCTTGTGCCACGTGTTGCTGATAGGAACCACATGGTTTGGGAGATAAGGGGTGCTGTTAAACTTTAATAGAATAAAAATACATTACATGTATTTATCCATCCATCCATCCATTTTCTCCCGCTTATCCGAGGTCGGGTCGCGGGGGCAGCAGTCTCAGCAGGGAAACCCAGACTTCCCTCTCCCCGGCCACTTCCTCCAGCTCCTCTGGGGGAATCCCGAGGCGTTCCCAGGCCAGCCGAGAGACATAGTCCCTCCAGCGTTCATATTCATATAAACCTGATTTTATTC